TTGTCCTTTTGACTTCTCAGCACTAAGATGGTTTATCTTAAAGGGATAGTTCAGCCAAAGAAGAAAATTCTGTCATCATTTATTCACCCTCAAGATATTTCAAACAGCCACTGAATTCCATAGTATTTTCAACCCATGCCATGGAAGTCAACGGCTACCAGCAACGGTTTTATTGCCAACATTCATCTTTTCTGTTCAACAGAAGCAAAACTCTAACAGGTTTGGAACAACATGAGGGTAAATTACACTTTTCCTTTTTGGGTGAACTATCCCTAAAATCTGGAAAATCTGGATCTTGAAGCAAAACCAGTTAAGAACTACTGCTCCAGACTTTTAGTATTGACTATGGATGTGATGGATGTGAAAGCAGCGGTGCTTCAGTGCCATCAGTGACTGGAACTACAATCACAAACTCACTCAGCACATCAGGACTGAGTCTCGAATAGATTTTAAGGCCAGTATATTTGCATTTTATGGGTATGGGAGCACTGGTCTTCCTGGAAGTGTTCGATCGAAGTGTGTTTGGTAAGGTGTGACTCAGAAACGTCTCACTGAAGGACTCATCATGCGCTCACAGGAGAAGCATTCGGCTCATGAACACTCAGTAATGCACACTGGTACGGCCTGAAATAGATTCTACACAACTAGATGAATGCAGATGCTTTAATTTGACATATTGTGTTCAGAAATGTGCCAGAGCTAATAATATAACAACTACAAACTGCCACATAATTGTTGCCACAAGGGGCGATATAAGACATTCACATAAACTGATCTGAGAGAAAACGGAGTGTAGAAGACCAAAAGAGACTGAAGAGAATCTTGCTGAGCCGGATAGTTATAGTTTAGTTCATTATACAGCATCAGCTCTAACTCAGTGTTTGAGTTCTGATTACAGACATTTGCTCAGATGAGCTGAGGTCAGATTATATGCAAAACTGCAAAACTGTTTACTGGTAAAAGGCCACAGCCAGCAGACATGAAGAACCCAGGAGAGGATAATATTTACACTATTTGCATTGACTAATGGCAGAACATGAACATTAGAGCAGGACTGGTAAACAAACAGACTCGTTAGATCAGCCACTAACATCCCATGATACTGAACACTTAATCACAGGACACAGGAAAGTATTAGAGGCTCAAATTCTGTGTGTTTGTAGTGAGAGCTACAGTATATGGTCATTTTATATATATA